GTCCATCTAGCCTGGCATCCTGTCTCACACAGTGGCCAGCCAGTTCCTCTGAAGGTCCAACAACATAGCATAGAGGCGGAGGCCTTCATAAGAACATCAGAAGAGCCCTGCTGGATCAGACCAGTCCGTCTAGTCCAGCATTCTGCCTCACACAGCGGCCAGCCAGTTCCTCTGGAGGGCCAACAACAGGGCAGAGAGACTGAGGCCTTCCTCTGATTTTCACTCCTGCACTGGGATTCAGAGGCTTAGTGCCTCTAAATCTGGAGGTTCCCCTCAGCCACCATGGCTAGTAGCCACTGATAGACTTATCCTGCATGAATCTCTCTCATCCCCTTTTGAAGCTGTTTATTCCCGTGGCCATCCCTACATCCTCTGGCTTCCACATTTTAATCACTCTCTGTGTGAAGAAGTATTTCCTTTTGTCTGTCCTGAACCTACTTCCCATCAGCTTCACTGGATGCCCTCAAGTTCTGGTCTTTTGGGAGAGGGAGAAAAATTTCTCTTTGTCAACCCTCTACACCCCATGCATAATTTTATAAACCTCAGTCGTGTCCCCCCTTAGTTGTCTCTTTTCTGAACTGAAATGTCCCGGTCTCTTCAGCCTTTCCTCAATGGGAAGGTGCTCCAACCCCCTAATCGTCTTGGTTGCCCTCTTCTGTTCTTTTTTCAGCTCTTTGACGTCCTTTTTGAGACACGGTGCTCCTTGGCTTCTCACTTTTGTGCAGGAGCAAAGCACAACAATGACACATCCAGGGTTGCCACTTTCTGGAAAGTCAGGGAAATGGAAATTGGTCAGGGAAACTGGTCTGAAGTCAGGAAGAGTCAGGGAAATTGTGATTAAAATATATTGAAGCCGTGGATTTTTGACCTGCTGCTGCAAGAGCTTGACCTGTTCTTGTGGCAACTGGAATAGAGAAATAGCAGAATACAAGTGGAACTCAATGATGCCCTGTCCCAACCATCTTAGATAGAACGTTCATATAATTTTTAGCGCACCTATAAAACAATAACAAAAATGTTCTGTCGTTTGTTAGCATTCAGAGTTTACTTGAATCGAAGTTTGCATCTTGGTGTGATTTTTGGCGCCATTGCAAAACAGACGTTGCTGCAGTTAATGTTGAAAGAAGCTGGTATTAAATCTCTTTGACAAATATTTTTGCACTTGAGACTTGTGTAGTTGTAGAGCGGAACATTCCATTAAGCCTTGCATTAATGCAACACGACCGATTCATTTTTTAACGTGTGGTTACATTTGAATGGTGGTCAGGGAAATTGACGAACGTCGGTCAGGAAAAGCCAGGGAAATGAAAAATAAAATTTTAGTGGCCACCCTGCACATCCTCCCCTTTTCTCTCTCTTTTTATCTTGTAAAACTTTATTAGTTTCATAGCAAACGTTTTGTTTTATGTAGAGGACAGCACCCCGTTTCCCTCGTGCAGCCTACGCGAGCTGCCCTCCCCCCCATCTGTCCTTTTCATATATCTGCCTGTCTTCTCCCCCCCCCCCCCTCGAGCACAGACTCCGTCTGAGATGTCTGCCCCACTTATTTCGGATGCCATGGCTACGGGGCGGTGATGGCAGGCAAGGACGTGTGTCCTCCATGCCACATGTAACACAAGGCGCTTTTTATTCAGGGGCCCCTCCAGGAGAAAGGAGTTTGTGGCCGAGCGCACGTGGAAGCTTTTTCTCTTGGTTGTGTTTCTGGCAGGGAGGACCTTACAGGTAGGGTTGTGTATTCATCCCCCCCCCCCCCCCGGGCCAACAACCACCAATGGCCATGCAGCACTGGGGGGATATTTTATGGAGGAATTTCACAGGAAAATCTGTTTACTGTCAGGGTG